GTAATCTTTACAGGAGTAGATCCAGAGCCATGGCCTTTCAGTTAGCCCAGTGCTGAACCATTGCCCCATCTGGGCTCCTCACTTAGTATATAGTCAGCACCCGTAAACATTATTTTGGACAGTAGAAACTTTGTGTGTATTCCACAAATGTTTGAGCACTGCTAGGCACCTAGAACTGAAGGTATAAACATGAACGAGGTACACTCCTGAGCTGGAATGGCCCTGGGTGTTGCAAAAGAGTTGAGGACAAGAGCTTTGATCCCTGTGACCAGAGCAAGTAAGAGCAATGTGACTAAAACAAGGCTCTGGGGCGGGGTATTTGATGTAGGGGGAGGGGTAGAGTAGGCAATAGTGAGGTATCCAAAAGGGAGCAGGGCTGCAAACTTGAACTGCCATCCAAAAAAGAAAGAAAAATGCTTTCTGCAGTTGTTTTTTGGGTGCCATCCCATGCAGTGGGCACCTGTAGGCTGCTCACCCTCCTACTTTGGACAAATAAGGAACGTTTGGAGTCCTGCCTCCTTGCCTCCCCTTTGAAATAATTTATTCTAAAAAAAAAAAAATACCATAATTCAGACTCCTGCCCACAGGATTTCACTGAAGACACCAAGAGAAGGGGGTCCTGTTTAGTTACATCCCAGGGAGGCTAGGATGGGCAGGTCAGAGGGAAAGAAAAATGGCTGCTGGCAGTGACGTTTGCAAACCCAACAAGCTTGACTGAAGAAGAAAGTGTGTCTCTATCCATTTCTTCCGCCGTGACCATAACTCCAACACGGAGAGGAAGGAAGGAACTGATGGTGGTGAATGCTTGGGGCCCCGGGGATGCCAGGGGATCTGCTGCCTCTGGAACTCCAGGAATCTGACCACCGGAACCAACCAGTGTCAACTCTTTGTTTCCTGGGGCTAGGCTCTGTTGGGGGAGCACAGGCTATGCCCCTCCCCCCAGGCCTTTTCTTTTTGGATGGGATGGGGAGAGGGGCGGGGCCCTGCTTTGTGTGTGGCTGGGGATGGGGGTGGGGGTGGCAGTGGCAGCAAGAATTTCAGGCTCCTTTCACATGCTGGCCCTGGGAGGCTGGCTCGGTGGGGCTGCAGGCTGATTACCTATCCGATAAGAGAGGAATTCAAACTATGTGTTTTAGAAAGGGGCAAGGTGGGGGCAGGGAGCCACCCCTGGAGACCACCAGTCTAAATCCTGTCCGGTTATGGTGAGGTGACTGCAGCAGATTTTTTTTTTTTTAAGTCCTAAACATACCTCAAATTCTCTAGTAATGGAGTGGGTGACCTGGATAGGACTAGTCAATTTCATATTATGGGTCCCCATTTATAGATTTGGGGTTCTCAAGCCTACAAGGTGTAGATGGAGAAAGGTGGTGTTGTTGTGTGCCATCGAGTTGATTCTGACTCATAGTGACTCTATAGGGCAAAGTAGAACTGCCCCATAGGGTTTCCTAGGCTGAAACCTTTACAGGAACAGATCCTAGGACTTTTTCCCCTGAGGGGCCGCTGGTAGGTTCAAACCGCTGACCTTTCTGTTAGCAGTCAACGCGCTTAACCACCAGGCCTCCTTAGGAGGAAGGTATTCCTGGAGCTCAGGGAAGGAATTTTTTTTTTTTGAGTTTCCACGGCTTAGTGATAAAACCAGAGCTATAATTTCAAGTCTCTTGACACTTTTTTTTCTCGCTGTTACTCTGCCTTGATCCAAGAGGTAGCTGATAATTGCTCCCCACTGGGGGTTTATGTGTACCAGGTGATGTGTTGACTGCTTTTCATGCATAAAACCTCACAACACACCATAAAATTAGTATTTACTCCATTTTATAGATTAGGAAGCCGAGCACCGAAAGAAGGGGACAGACTCTGAGACTCTTGCTCTTAACCACTTATCTGCTGAATCACAGCTAGTGGCTCAAATCGAAGCAGCTGTAATGGGCTGGGTCAAGAAGCTCTCTGTCTAGCTCCTCTTGCACCTGCTCAGCTCCATAAGAGACAAGTCAAACCTGACTGCAAATTCAGGGAGGTTATTGTGCAACAATGGGAGGGAAAGGTCTGTTTACCCTTTTGCTGTGCTTTTAGTTTCTGCTTTAATGCTTTACTGTGTTTCTTGGCTTAATAATGTGGGAAGATGGTGAAGGGAGGGTGGTCATCACATCCCTGGCTGTCCTGTGGGGCATAAAAAGGTATCTCGTGAAAGGACCCCCCACCTTCGAAATATTCTATTGTGAGGACAGGCAGACAAAACTATCAACAGTAATAATACAGGAAATATTTACTGAACACTTATTCTGCACCTTTACATGTCTGTATAACCTTTATTAGACACTTAGGTTGTTCGTTGCCATCAGTTTTGATTCTGACTCCTGGCAACCCCATGTGTGCAGAGTAGACCTGCTCCATGGGGTTTTCAAGGCTGTGACCTTTCAGAAGCAGATGACCAGGCCTGTTTGTCAGGTGCTTCTGGGTGGGTTCGAACTGCCAGCCTTTCTGTTAGTGGCTGAGCACAAACCCTTTGAGCCACCCAGGTACTTCAGTAATCTGGTATAACCAACATTTATGAGCCAGGATTTGTCTGGCACTGGAGCCTGTGCTCTTAACGACTTTACCTCAAAGGATGTTTGTCTTTCACAGTACCATCTAAGTTAAAATGATTGAGTATCCCATCTGGTTAAAGAGGGGCTGTATCTTCACCTAAACATCCAGGTTAAAACAGTGCCCCTCCTCACCAAGTATAAAACACTAGTGCTAATTACTCATGTTCCCTCGTGCCCATGTGTCTCCCTGGGACAGGACTAGGTGCATAGTGATCAGTTTTGCTTCTCAGAACTTCATTTTCTATGATGACTACTCCTTGTTGACAGATTTGACACACAATTTGGAAGTTTCATTATAAAGGATGAAGCTATAATAAAGTCTGCTCTGGGTAGGGTCACACCTCTGCTAATGTGTTGTTGATTCAGTAAATGGCATAGTGGAATGACTTGTGAGCTTTTAAATCAGGAAACATGGATTCTTCTGACCCTGGTTTTGCCACTCTCTAACTGGAGCTGTGGTGGTGCAGTGGATAAGCGCTCTCCTGCTAACCAAAAGATCTGCAGTTCAAACCTACCAGCTGCTCCTTGGAAACCCTATGGGGCAGTTCTATTCTGTCCTATAGGGTCACTTTGAGTCAGAATCTACTCGACGGCAACGGGGTTTTGTGTTTGCTTTTTAACTGTGAATAACTCCCTTTTTTTTTTTTTTAAGGCACTTTGCTAAATGCTTGCCAAGTGTCAGTGTTTTTTAATTTTGCTATAAACATAATAGCGTTTTAATGGGATTATTCCACACACACTGCCCTAAACAGTAAACAAAACCAGGATTTTACCTTCTTTTAAATGGCTGCGTCCTATTCAGTATTATAGATTGAACATTTTATTCAACCATTCTCCTACTAAGGTATTTCGGATTTTTGTTTTTTTACCAGTGATGAGATATTGAACATGGGTCATATGCTAAGTCATCCTGCAAATTACTTATATTCTGTTGTGTGATTCTTTTAATCATTTATTGTAGCTTTTTGTAGTTTTAGCAGTCTGATACCTGTCTTTTGACAGTTTTTTCTTTTCCTTAACATTTAAGTACTGAACTCCTAAAATGTGTTTTGCATACATATGATATAAAGTGTAAGAATCTGGCCTTAACTTCCAAATGGATGATGAATTTTCTCAACAGCACTCAATAAATTATTTCCTCACCTATTCATCTCTCCATATGCTTGGATCTCTTAGTGGACTTTGTATTTGTACTCTAATCCACTGATCTCTCTGTGCCTGGTCTTACTATCCCCCTACTCCCCACTTTTAAGTAACTTAATTTTTATATAATTTCAAACTTAGAAAAAGTTTGCAAGAGTATTAACAAAAGACATCTGTGTAAACTTTAACCAGATTCATTATTTGTAACATTATGCTTCATTTGCTTTCTCTTTCTTTCTGTATGTATAAATTTACTCATTTTTAATAAACTCTGTTTATAAGGCATAAGCACCTTTATCCCTAAATATTTCAGTGTGCATTTCCAAAGAATAAGGGCGTTATCTTACATAATCTCAGTACTATGATCAAAATCAGGAAATTTAATATCTATGCACTTTTTGGCATTACATATTCAAATTAATTTTTTTTTTCCTGGTTCAGGATCCAGTTCAGGATCTTGCATTACATTTGTTATAGTTTCTTTAGTTCTTCAGACTTTGTCGTTCATGACCTTGCTATTTTGAAGTGTATAAAAAAAAAGCAATTCAAACCAAACCTGTTGCCATCAAGTCAATTCCAACTCAGCGACCCTATAGGACAGAGCAGAACTGCCCCCACAGGGTTTCCAAGGCCATAAATCTTTGTGGAAGCAGACTGCCACATGTTTCTTCCCTGGAGTGGCTGGTGGGTTCAAACCACTGACCTTTCAGTTAGCACCCAAGCACTTAACCACTGCACCACCAAGGCTCGTCTTGAACTATATAGGTCAGTTATTTTGTAGAATGTCCCTCACTTTGGGTTTGTCTGGTCCCTTGGATTTAAATCTGTCTATGGCATGCAGTAATAATGCTTATACCTTTTTTTTTTCTTTCTAGTATTCTACTTGTTTGGTCTTTTGATGTTAGTATGAAAGCAGATGTGGCACTTTATTTGAAAGCATAATGTTTAATACTTAATAGTGTTGCCTTTTATATTTACCATTTACTATTTGTTGGTGTCTTAAATGCTGTGTCTAGAAATTTTCCTCCTTTCCTATTCTACTTAGAAGTGTAAACATAGCTACAAAAAAATATTAATGACATTTCATAATTGTTCTTTGTTAATGTAATGTAGATTCCTTGTTCTGTGGTGACTCTGTAGTCACACTTTCCTTACTGAAAAAATAGAAATGATACCACACCAGCTCTTCCTACCTCACAGGGGTATGTGTGTGTGTTTGATGTAATAACGAAACTAATAAATGTTAAAATCTACCATGTTTCCCTCCCCCAGAGTAAGCTGCATATGGAGGGCTTTCGCAGCCTGAAGGAGGGAGAGGCAGTGGAGTTCACCTTTAAGAAGTCCGCTAAGGGCCTGGAATCAATCCGCGTCACAGGACCTGGCGGGGTGTTCTGTATTGGGAGTGAGAGACGGCCAAAGGGGAAGAACATGCAGAAGCGCAGGTCAAAAGGAGACAGGTATGGCTTAGAGGGCAGCTTGTGCAGTGGGTTGGGATATCCGTGGATGAGAAGAACTCTCCCAGTCCTGCCCCCCTCTATTGGATCAGGTTGTCAAAGGTAAAATGAAGTCCGGAGTCTCTGGGAACATCTGGATAGTTGGAGTACCTGCCATAGATGTGGAAGACAAGGCGGACAGTATGGGGGGCAGGCGCTTGAGAAGACCTAGCTCTTCTACTTGGGAGAAGTAATTTTGCTCTGTGAGCTCTATCCTCAATTGTTAAGCGGGCATAGTGATACTAATATGACATGATTATCTTAGAATACTAAAGGAGATCATGTATGTGAAACATAAAGGGTGAGTGATAGGGGAACATGATGGTGCATCTACTGCTTCTTCACCAGGTTTCCAAATGGCTGGTTTCCTTGATCTTGCCCCTGGGCTGTAATATAGTTTGTAATAAAAGGGTATGGTAGAATCTTGCCTATTTCCCACAATCAAGTCCCCAGTTAGGGTCAGTGGCTTTTATTGTTGGTATCTCAGTATTTTTAAGTCGACTTGACTCTGAAGAGATCATTTAGACAATTATAGAGTTGGAAAGGATTTTAGGTTTTAGTCATATTCCTCCTTTTATATGCGGAGCTCCAGGAAGGGAAGTGTATTAGGCAGGGTTTTCCAGAGAAACAGAACCAGTAGATCTATTTTAAAGAATTGGCTCATGCTGTTGGACGTCCTGGCAAATCTAAAGAGTTGATGTTACAGTCTTGAGTCTGGAATTTGTAGGGCAGGATGGCAGGCTGGAAACACAGAGAGGATACCAAACATCTAGGCTCCATAGCCTAGCTAAGTTGACACATAAAATTACATCATAGGAAGTGAGTGTAATGACAGAACCTGGACCAGGCTCAGGGGAAGCCTTTGACCTCTTCTCACTCCTTTTCTCTCATCTTTACTTTCTTGTTTTCCACTAGGTGCTACAACTGTGGAGGTCTAGACCATCATGCCAAGGAATGCAAGCTGCCACCCCAGCCCAAGAAGTGCCACTTCTGCCAGAGCATCAGCCATATGGTAGCCTCATGTCCACTGAAGGCCCAGCAGGCCCCTGGCTCACAGGCAAAGCCAGCCTACTTTCGGGAGGAAGAAGAAGAGATCCATAGCCCTGCCCTGCTCCCCGAGGCCCAGAATTGAGCCACAGTGGGTGGGATCAATCCTTTTGCTATCAGGAAGTTTTAAGGAGCAGGCGTCAATCGGCAGAGAGTGGAGAAAGTGGGATAGGGTGGGTAGGGGGCAGCTGGCACTGCCATGTATCTCAGGCCGGGGTCCACAGCATCACCCCCTCTTCCCTCTTGGTGGGGGGAAGGAGTGAAGCAAAGGAACTCCAACCATCTTTATCGAAATGCAAGTGAGGGCTTTCAGGAGAAATCCCCCTAGAGCCTGCCAGCTTTATCTGAGGCTCCATTCCCAGAATCTCGGACTTTTGAAAGTGGCGTGGATAGGGAAGTTTTCCGTTTTAGAGAAGGATATATAATTTCCCATGCCATAGCACAAAAAGATTAAGCATGAGACCAGTCTGATGGACCCAACCCAGAAGCCACTACCGTCTGTGGGAGGGAATCTTTTAGGGGTGGGGCAGAGTTTTTCCATGTCTTGTCTCCTCATAACCCACTCTTGGGACAGGGTGCTGGAACTGTCCCAAGCAATGGGTTGTGGTGAGAGGCAAAAGGGGTGGTTGTGGAACAGCTGCAGACCTGCTGCTCTTAAGCTTACACCCACCCCCATTCTGGGCCAACACAATTTTATTTATTTGCTCCCTTGGGTAACTGCACCTTGGGTCCCACTTTCTCCAGAATGCCAACTGCACTAGCTGTGTGCGAATGACGTATCTTGTGCATTTTAGCTTTTTTTTTTCCTTAATATAAATATCCTGGTTTTGTATTTTTGTATATTTTAATCTAAGGCCCTCATTCCTGCACTGTGTTCTCAGGTACATGAGCAATCTCAGGGATAAGTTGGCGGCAGCTCCAGGTCTGCACAGCAGGAATACTTTTTGTTGTTGCTTTATCACCTCAAAGAACAACTATGTGGAGTGTATAGTCTATTGAACTACCTCATTTTTGCCAATTAGAGCTGGCTTTTCTGCCATAGTGTCCTCTTGAAACCCCTCCACCTTGAAAATGTGCCATGGGAGACTAAGTTTTTATTGGGTTGCCCCATGACTTGATCTCCTTCTACTGGAAGATTGGGAAATCGTGTGAATGGGAAGGTGGTGCAGAGAGGTTAGGAGAGAGGCTAGGCCAGGTGAAAGGCTCAGAGAGGAAGCCAAGGTTAGGTGACGGTTGTCTGTTAATGTAATAAGGGACTCCTGTTCCAAATCTTTAATCCTAGGGCGTGGGACTTACTTCACCAGATCCATCCTTCACTGGATTAGGCTAGGCCTACCAGGCACAATGGGGGGGGTGTGTGTGTGTGTGTGAAAATCTGAGTTGGTAGCATAGGTTTTAATACATCTATACCCATCCTGTGCTGCCCAGGGATGGATATATGAAACAAAGACTAAAACCCTTAACCTTTTCATGAAATTCTGAACTTTTCCTGCTTGGCTTCCAGAGAGACCCATAAGCAAGGGCTTTTTAGTGGTGCCCAGAGCTAGTGTCCTGACCTGCTGACTTAGTGTTATGGTAGCTAAAGGAGAAAGGGGGTTTCGTTTACATGCTGTGAGATCACTGCAAACCTACCTCACTGTGTTAAAACGGGGCAAATGCAATAGAACGCATTGGGTGATGTGTGTCTGATTCTGGGTTCTTGTCTCCCCCAAATGCTGCCCCCTCTAGTTATTGTATTTGTCTGGGTTTTGTAGAACTTCACAAAGTCGCTGATTTGGTGATTGCTAGGTGGCCTAGTTTGTGTAAATATAATGTGTTGGTCTTTCTCCATGTTCTTTTGGGGTTTTTATTGTTTACAAACTTCTTTTGTATTGAAAGAAAAATAGCCAAAGCATCTTTGACAGAAGGTTCTGCACCAGGCAAAAGGATCTGAAACATAAGCTTGGGGACCCTTCTTGAAGTGGGGGCCTTGAACCATCCTTTCTTTTGTGTTCCCCTTCCCGTTTCCTCTTTTGAACTAGATCTTCTGTCCTAAAAATTTGACTCCTACCCTACCTCCTCCCCAGCACTCCCCCGAAACCCACACATATACACATTTAATTTTGGGGATATCTCCACAACATTTAACCCTTTTGTTCAGAAAACCCGAAGAAGCTAGGAATAGTCCATCCCTTGTTTCCAGCCTTCTGAGTTAAGACTGTAGTCCTTGATATGATTCATGCCAAAACTTAGTAGTATTTGGATGGACCAAAGCTACTTAATTTCTAGTCATAGGGTAGAGAGAAGCAGTGAGGGGCTTCCACATAGAAAGTGGGGGTGGGAGACCAAGAAAGGGAAGATGAATGTATTTCTAAGTCACTCAGGAACTTTTATGCAGGTGCAAGAAACTTATGTCAAAGTGGCCACAAGATTGTTTAATAGGAGACGGACGAATGTAACTCCCATGTTTACTGCTAGAAACCAAAGCTTTGTGAGAAATCTTGAATTTATGGGGAGGGAGGGAGGGTAGGAAAGTGTATACCTGTCTGTTCTTTCCCTGGTCCCTTCACCTCATTCCTAACTAGGGGAGGCTGAGCCCCAGTGGGCTTTGGTGACCCTCATCACTGGGGTATGTTTATTTGTTGGTTGATTTTGCTGTACTGGGTACTTCCTTTCTCTTCTATCATTTTGTAACACATGCCGATCCTTTTGCCTTCCCGTCTCTTTTCCCTGGGAAAATACAATGAATAAAGACTTATTGGTACTGAACCTGTGTCTCCTTGTCAGATATTTAGGGTGCTTTTCCTCTTCCATAAAATTCCCACCACGGATTTGGACTCAGGTCACAGAAGAGTCATTAAGTTTTCTGTTCAGCCACTCTGTTAGAGGAAAGAATCTTGAAAGTTCAGTCCTCTTAGCACCTCATTACAGTGGATTTTTGTTTCTATTTAAGGTCTCTTGTACTTTCCTTGGAAGCTGCCACATTCAAGAGGGGATTAGGGGTTTGGCATGCATAAGAATGGGGTTGCTGTGCCACTAGCTGGGATGAAAAGATGGGGCCATGACTTAGGGCATGAGACTCTAATAATACTTTGTCCCTTACTCCTCAGAGCCTTTACAAATCTTAACTCCCTGTACCATCCCTGGGAGGAAAATAAGATGTAGAACTGGGGAGACTGAGGCCAAATGAGATAACACTGGCTATGGTCAGACATTTTCTCTGAGCCAAAGTTTGCTAGTCTGCTAATACACATGTATTTTTAAACCTTTAGCTCCCCCTAAAGGAAGGAGGATTTTAAAAGGAAAAAGCTTTTGACTGGAGGCATACCAAGTATTACACAAAAGGGCAAGGAAAGTGGATTAAATCCTCAAATGATGGCAACATTACCAGAGCAAGGGTAAGAAGTTTCATATATCCACTCAGGTGCTTTCTGGTCTCTTCACTAATTGTACAAAAAGCCAAAGGTGACATGGATGCTCATACAGCAGCAAGCTACTACTGGGCTTCACTAAATGGTCTTTGCAAAATTGCAGTAAACCTGTTAACCTCCAGGCTGCAAAGCACTAAGGATGGAAAAGTTTAAGACTATTCCTGGGTGGGTTACTCATCTCTAGGTCTTTCTTTGATTATGTTTTGTCAAAGTAACCCTTTCATCAGAAAGAGAAGACAAACATAATGGATTAGGCATCACCAGTGCCATATCTCTTCCTTGCCTTGTTTCCTTGATGGGACTTTGCAATCTAAACAAGAAGATTGTTTTAAATTGTGAAATTCTATTCTACTCTCAAAACATTCAGATGGAAGTTTCATGCTTTGAACAAAAGACTGGTGGCATCAGATTCTGTATTTAAAGTTTGTTGTTTTTTTTTCCGCTGCTTTAATTTTAATTTTGAGAAAATTGAGTTCCAATATGTGAGTCAGAGCCTCAAATTCCTACAACAGCTTTTCCATAAAAATTTAGTACAAAACTAGTGGTCTTGTTTTTTCTACTGGGGGTTAAGTGAGTGCCTTTCTGTTAGAAGTCATTTGTATAGCAGAGCTCTTTCTGGCTTTAACCCTTTTTGATTTCCTAGGAGTGGGTCCTGGGAATCTGCAAATCCTAAAATCTGGGTTCCTGGGGTCAGCACAAAATGGGTTGATATTAAATGCGTTGTAAGACTGCATTGGGCTAGGAACTTCATTCCAAACGATTAAATCCAAGAACTAAAAACAGTAAAAATAAGATTTTTAAGACTGCAGTATACCAGGCCTCTAAAGAAACCCAGTTCTTGGCTTTCTCAGCAGTCCTAAACTGCCATCAGTCACTGAGAAGCCCCTAATTCTGGGGCACATTTCACTCAACCTAGCCCGCCTGCAGCCTCTCTGCCTGTGGGTCTACTGCTCCCCCTGGTGGTCTCGAACTCGCCTTCGCCAGCCCTGTCCTCTGCACGTGGCCTAGAGCAACGTCGCCCGCCACACTCAGCGCTTACTCAGCTTTCACCCTTGCCCGAAGTTCCTCTGCGGGCCCCCCACCCCGCCCGGGTGTGCGAATTGCACGCCCCGAGCGTTCGCGCCACGCCTTCTTCTTATTCGGCATGCGCAGAGCAGGGCTCCACCCATTAGCTAATGAAGGGACGTGTCCCCGCGCCCAGCGATGACGTGATTTTCCTGCGCCACGTCGTGAGATAGTGTCGGTTCACTGAAGTGGTAGCGGGGCTCCGTGGGGAGCCGATCAGGTGCTGAGCTGTACGGATGGTCGAGAGGAGAGGGAGGTGACTGGTTGGGAAGGCAGCTATGGGAGTAAGAAAGGGGCCAGTGGAAGAGACAACTGAGGGAATAGAAAATGGGAGAGAACGCTGAGGTAGAAGGTAACGGTGCGACAACTGAAGGGGTTAGTAACCGGGAGCGCAGAGTGAGAAACGGCTTGGGGAAAGGTGGAGATGGAATCGGCAGGGAGTGATCAGCATGTAGGCAGTAGGTTGTGGCGGGAAGCCGACTTAGATGTTCAGAAGAAGTCAGTGCAAATCCTCGGTAAAAGGCGATGGGAGCAAGGGCCAAGAAACCAGGAGAACCAAGGGAAGACCTCTGCCCCCAAATTCCCATTGGCTTCTTCAACTCTGGGCGATGAAAGAGTAGAGGCTTCGAGCA